CTCCTGGAAAGGTGTTGCAGGTGGGACCACCTGGCAGGCAGGTTGCCGGGGGGGGAGTGTTTGAGGAGAGGGGGATGATCACTTCCTAGCCCCCTTCCTCAGGGCACCCAGGCACCCACTTCCCAATGGCCAGGTGGATTCTTGCCCTCCATGCGCCCTCGGAGGCCAGGCAGCACTGAAGGGGTTCTCAGTCTTTGGACCTCCAGATATTTTGGGCCTTTGCTCACAGAATCTGTTGCCGTTGGCCATGCTTGGTGGTGGTGGTGGTGGGGAAGCAAAGCTGTTGGAGGACCCTTGGCCTGCGCAGATACTGTGGAGGAAATGAAGACTGGCACAACGCCTGGCGCAGGATGGGTGCCCACTCGGCAGGTGCCCAATGTCTCCCCTTGGGCCATAAATGCACACAGACACAGGAGTCAGTGTCCCTCTCGAGACCCCCAAGGGGCAAGGGGCAAGGGGCAGCCATGCTATGGTGCCAGGCCTGGGATGCTAAGGCACTATTCTCTCTTCAAAGGCAACACCTCTCTGCAGGATTACAAGTGTTCGACCTCCTGGCAAAAAAGGCAGAATCAGAGATGGAAGGGTCCTGGGAAAGACTGGTGGCACAAGGGAAAGGGAGGCTGGTGGGTGAGAGAGGCTATACTTGTTTTACTTTGGGACAGGATTGCTTGACCAGACACTCAGCAGGGAAACATAAAGGAATTGGGAGAAACCTTTTTTAAAAATAAAAGCAACCTTGCAAATATTTTTCTCTTTCAGAACAAGAGCTTTTTTGCAGACACCTGTGAGGCATAACTCCTAGAGTTGGGATGGGTGACTGCCAGGGGGCTTTTGGGGTGTGTGACTTCCAGCTCACTTTTGTTGTTGTTGTTAACTGCCCTCGAGTCGATCTGGACCCATGGCAATGACCCTCTGGACGAGACATCTCCAAGAAGACCCCCTGTCCTCCAACTGCTCTGCTTAATTCCTGCAAGCCCTTAATAAATTCCCATAGGGACCCCCTTAATAATAGAATTCCTCCATCTGGCAACATCTGGCCTTCCTCTCTTCCTACATCCCTCACTTTCCCAACATTATTGCCTTTTCCAAAGAGTCCTCTCTTCTCATGATGTGTCGGAAGTATGACAGCCTCAATTTGGTCATCTTGGCTTCTTCCAGGGAGGTTTCTGGATTGATCTGCTCTAGAACCCATTTCTTTGTCCTTTTGGCTGTCCACGGGATCCTCCTCAGCACTCTTCTCTAGCATCACCAGCTCACTTACTGGAGGAGTATGATTTTTTTTGTTTAGAATCATAGAATCCCAGAGTTGGAAGAGACCCTAAGGGTCATCCATTCCAACCCCCTTCAGCCATGCAGGAAGACACAATCAAAGCAGATAGCCATTTAAAGTTACAAACCTCCAAATAATCATAGACTGGAAGAGAGCCCAGGGGTCATCCAGTCAATCCCTTCTGCCATGCAGGAAGACACAATCCAAGCCCTCCCTGGGACAGATGGCCATCCAACCTCTGCTTAAAAACAGCCTCCAAAGAAGGAGACTCCATCACCCTTTGAGGGAGCGTCCTCCATTTTCAAAGAACTCTTACTGGCAAAAGGTTCCTCCTAATGTTTCGGTGGCATCTCTTTTCCTGTAGCTTGAAGCCATTGCTCCATTGTCCTAGTCTCTGGAGCAGCAGAAGTTACAAACCTCCCTCTATTCTCAATGGTGAGGCCTGACCAAAGCGGAATAGAGTTGCACTATTATTTCCCTTGGTCTAGACTTCTGTTAACGCAGCCTAGAATTGCATTGGGTTTTTTAGCCGGGAGTCCTGAGAGATCGGGCCATGAGCCCAACATGGTGCCCTTTTGAAAGACCCTCTTTTCTTCTCTCTTTCCTCCAGGGAGATTTCTCCATCACTGATCTCGACTGTGGTCACCATCCAGGCCACCATGTCCCCTGCCAAGGGCAAGGTGGGTGCGTCTCAGCCCCCGCTGGTCTTCACAGCCCATGAGATGGAGTGCAAGATCTGCTACGAGAGTTTTGACGGCCGAACACGCCGGCCCAAGCTGCTCAGCTGCCACCACCGCGTCTGCGCCCGGTGCCTGCGGCGGATGGCGGACGCCGAGGAGTCCCCTGCCCACCTCAGCTGCCCCTTCTGCCGCCAGGAGACCCCCGTGCCTGAGAGAGACATCGGCCGGCTGCCGGACGATGGCCAGGTGCTGGCCCTGCTGAGCGGCCGAGAAAGGGCTCGTAGGCCTGGGGGTCCCCCGCTGTCCCCCGAGGTGCTCCTGTGCCCCAGTGTCCTGGAGCCGCTGGCGGACGGACGACACAGCTCCTCCTCGGACTGCCTGGTCATCACCCTCCTGGAGATGCCCGAGGACCTGGCTGCCCCCGAAGGGGTTGGAGTGCTGGAGGTGATGCGGCTCTACCGGCCACCCAGCCTGGGCTCCCTGCCCTGTTACCTGCCACTGGGCAAGTGCCGGCCCTGCGGCTCGTGCCGCAACCTGCCCCGGTTCCTGCTGGCCGTCCTCTGCCTGGCCTACCTGAGCTCCCTGCCCTTCGGCCTCTACCTCCTCCTGGAGGGGCACCTCAACCTGGGCATCGTCCTGGTCAGCCTGGTGCCCTCCACCCTCATCCTCTGCCTCTTCTACAGCCTCTTCCAGTGCCTCTGCCAGGAGATCTGCGGCTTGCCCTCCTGAGCCACAGACTGGCACGGATGGGGCATGTGGATAGCCTGGACCCTGAGAGATGTCACACCATGCTGGGGTCTTCCCCCCCCCCGACCTGGACCTGGACCACTTTAGTCTCCAGCTGCCCTCCAGCAAACAGTGGTACCTGGCAGGCTCGGTGGTCCCTTAGAAATGTGGGGTGGCGGAAGAGGAGGACTTGGGTGTTCCACGGACCACACCAAGACACACACAAATACACATGCAGCATTTAACTGTGGCAACCGTGGGGCTGCTTTTTCATATACGGACAAGGAATTCATAACAGGACAACAAGGGACCCCCACACCCCTGGTTCCAGGCCACCTGTATGTAATCAGAGCCATTTACCAGCATCGGCTTATGTTTTTCCTTGCAATGGGGGCAGTGCATCATTCCACATTTGGATGCTCACGGATTTGTGTCTTTGGTGCCACCAGTCTCACTCGACGAATAACCAAATCCTGAAAATATGTTCACCCAGGAAACAGGAGGAGAAGAGTCTCGGGGCAGACAAAGCACATTTAGGTTGTTGACAAGGACAAGATAGTTGGACAAGAAGGAGGAGCGCTCTCTCAATTGCTAGCCACCACAAGACGAAACTGACCCTTGGTGTGTCCATGATGAGGCCTTTCCCCTTCCCTGGTCGTCACGCTCTCCCTCTCTGAAGCAAGGCTTTTGGCTGACCACGGCTGGAAAGAGGAAGGGACCCAGCTGGCTCTTCCTAGCCCAGCTTCAGGGCTTCTCTTGTGGGAGAAGAAAGTGGACTCTGCCCAAATTAAAGAGGTCTATTGGTCGGCAAAGAAGTGCGGATGTTTTCTTGCTGCAGTGGACAAAGAGGGGAGAGTGAGGTGGGCAGGGGTGCAAAAGCTGGGCCCCAGGCGGTCAGCGCAACAACTGGACCAGGGGATCTCATGGACCTGGGAATGGCAGGGGAGATGCCCTGAGAAAAACACAGAAAGGCAGTAATGGGGCTTCATTGGCTACTGCATGTCCTACTTTGGTTGGCAACTTACCATTTTGGGGAGTCTTTCCCCCATTTACCCAGGCATGAATGAATGCACAGAG